ATCAAGCATAAAGCTTGAGATATTATTTTAACCTGGTGAAATGTAAATGACACAGCGCACGAAACTACATTAGTTTCTTTTTTTTAAATCCATCTGGACCATAGAACGGGACTCTCAAAGCCTTGACATCCGGGTATCCGGGAGACAAGTCAGTAAATTCGAGTAAAATCACAGGCTTCGCTTATCCCGTGCGAATGCACCACACGAAAAATTCAGATGTGGGGGGCTAATTTCAAAATCACACAAGGTCCCCAGATAATACTAATCCCGTGCGAACAGGGCTAAAGTAGGAGTTTCAGACATTCACAGACTGTCACAGCGTCGTTTAGAACTCCGACATGTGAGTAAACGAGACTCAAACACATACAGATCCTTCAGTCTGCGAGCGCTTCATCTGGAAACGCTCAATAACGGCCAGTCCAGAGCTGTTATCCTTTGATAACCATTACTCATGCGATGATGTTTGTCTCTTTGTCATTAAAATGTAAGACAAACAGCTGTGCTTTCCGTCTCTGAAGTTTTTTTGGTCTCTTTTGTGTTTTCATTATTTTGCCCAAAGTTGGCTGGATATTCCCGTGTTCTCCGTGCATGAAGAGGTTAGTGGGGTTTTGTTTTCGGGATTGTGGTCGCGCTTCCCCGGGAAATTACACGCCCCACCAGCGGCTTAATCAAAAGAGCAGCGTCTGACCCGAGACAGCAGACAGAACATACGGGTTCTGATTAATGCTTTAGTTTGTCTCCGCTATTAACCTTACTTCAGCTTTTAGACGTTTCTTTAACTCGAGTGTGTCCGCTCTATACAGAAAAGAGAAAATATTGTATTTAATGCTAGAATTCAAGCTAAGATTCATCTGATCGATGCATTTATCTGAATTAATTATGATATACACTACCGGTCAAAAGTTTGGAATAATTATGAATTTTTAATGTTTTTGATAGAAGTTTCTTCCGCTCAAGGCTGCATTTATTTGATTAAAAAATACAGTAAAAATTTTGAAATATTATTAGAATTTAAAATAGCTGTTTTCTGCGTGAATATATTGTGCAATGTAATTTATTTCTGTGATCAAAGCTGTATTTTCAGCATCATTTCTCCAGTCTTCAGTGTCACATGATCTTCAGAAATCATTCTAATATGCTGATTAATATGCTGAAGTGACAGTAAAGAGATTTCTATCTATTTTCAAATGAATGCTGAACTTTCTGTTCATCTGTGAATCCTGAAAAATAAAATGCATCACGGTTTCCACAAAAATATTGTGCAGCACAACTGTTTTCAACATTGATAATAATCAGAAATGTTTCTTGAGCAGCAAATCTGCATATTAGAATGATTTCTGAAGATCATGTGACACTGAAGACTGGAGCAATGATGCTGAAAATTCAGCTTTGATCACAGGAATAAATTACAGTTTAACAGAAATTCACACAGAAAGCAGTTCTTCTAAATCGTAATAATATTTCAGCATTTTTACTGTATATTTACTCAAATAAATGCAGCCTTGTTGAGCAGAAGAGACAGTGAGGTGACTTTAAGAACACAGAAGTAACTCCATCAGCAGCATCGAGGTATGAAACCCTTCTAACCCTGACGAGAGCAAAGGAGCTGGAATGGAGATCAGATTTCTGGTAAAAGTTGAAGGGAGCGGCGCGGAGGGCAGAGTTCAGACGTGTAAGCGGCCCCTGAGACTGACCCCGTGTCGCGACCCCTCCGTGTCACACACCGCGGGTGTGAAATCAGCAAACACACACGAGACGTCACCCACTGTCTCTGATATCAGTTATTTCTCCTACACTGCAGTGTCTGGATTTAAATGAAGAGCAATTTGAAACTGTTGCTGATTCCAAAAAGATACTTCCAAGAAAAAATAGACTCAAATGTGTCTCCTCTAGAATTTAAATAAATTTAAATTATGTCTCAAATTGCTATTAAAGTCAGAGATCTCAATATTAGGGCCCTATGAACTTGATTTAGTTTTCTCATATTCTGTTTTATTCTTTCCCAAATTATTTTTTTTTCATTTAAATTTTTCTAAAGTTGAATTCAATTATATTAATCTAAAAGGATGCATAATCAATTGAATTGACATTTAACAATGTAATCATTTATTAAAAGTTTAAAGCCAGAGATCGCAATATTACGGCCCTATGAAATCTCTTTAATTTTTTTCCCAAATTCTGCTAAATTTTCTCCCAGATTCTGTGTTTTCGGTTTTAATTTTTCTGGAATCCATTTTATTGGTTTAATTCAATTTTAATAATTGAAAAAGATGTACAATAAACTGAATTCATAAAACTTTTAAAAATTTGAGAATTTATTAAAATTGTATGTTTTATTTATGTTTCCCCCCTCCCCCCAAATTCTGTGTTTTATGTTTACATTTTTCTGGAATTAATTTTAATGATTGGATTCAATTGTAATCATGAAAAAGGATTTATAATGACTTGAATTACAGATTTATTCCCCTCAGATTTTTTTTTCTCTTCCCAAATTCTGTTTCCATTATACATTTTTCTGAAATCAATTTTAATGGTTTAATGTAATTGTAACAATCAAAAATGATGTTTAATCAATTCAAGAACAATTTAATAATTTATTAAAATTAAAAAAAATATACTGCCCTATGAAATGTCTTTTATTTTTTTCCAGAAATGTTGTTTTAATTTTTCTGAATTCTGTGTTTTGATTTAATACAAATTTATTACCAAAAATGGTGTTAATCGAATGTATGTAACTAACAATTTAACTAATCCTAATGTCAATGTAATCAAATGAAATTTGAACAACTCCTTCAAATGCACAAAAGAGGCTTAGTGTTAAAAAAAAGGATGAAAAATCGATATATTTAAAAAAAATAAAAAAATTATAAAATAAAAAATAAAAACTATATATATATATTTTTTTTTTTTAACTATTTTACCAAACTGTATTATTATTATTATTATTATTATTGAGTAGTAAATTCTACTGTACAATAATAATGTATTTCTGTCATGACGTTGTAGTGAAGACCTTCAAGTTTCTGGTCAGAATTTTCTGCATCATGGAAATCATATGACCCTACAATACCTGATCTGAGCTATTAATGATTCATCCAGAAACTCTGTACTCTCGCTTTAAACAGAAATGACTGCAGGAATAATTAGGAACACTTGCAGCTCTTTATGATGGCACGGCATAAATATTTATCCCTGTCTGCTGCCGTCGTAGGTGCGATCTGGTGCCAGCGCCCGAGGACTCGCGTTTGAGGCTTTTTTGTTGTGGTGTGGATCAAATGCGAGGCCCTTATTCTGCATTTATTGTCTTGCGTTTGCGTGCTAATAAATGAGTGACAGACAGCTCGAGGAGGGGCAGCAGTGGTTTTGTATTTTCCCTCGGGTCACTGAGGATCGGGGTTTTTAACAGCGATTCTCAAATGGAGGGGAATGAGGAGAGAGCATATCTAATTGCTTTCATATGCCATATTATTGGCTGATTTAAATAATTGCAGACACCGGGGGCTTGGGGAGGGGGCGCGACCTTTGACCCCTGCGGTGGCCTGGAGCACAGGCTACGGTAAAAACGCTTTTTCCAGTGTAAAATGAAAAGAAATTGCTTTTAACTGCATGTTACTTGACAGATGGAGTGATGAACATGATCAGTTCGCTCATTTCTATTGTTTTGCTTTGTGCGGGAAACATTTATGATGCTTTACCCTCATAACGCATTCAAAATCAGCCGACTATATTCACATTCCCAGTCCGTTTGGACCAAAATAATCGTTACTTTATAAATATTTTTCAATTAAACGTATTGTATCTGATCAGCAACTTTTCATTAATGAGTGAATGTGATAAAAATGTATATATAAATTATATATATTTATATTTCAATATTGATGAGAATTTTTTTTTTTTAATATATCATTGTATGAAATGTTTTTACACTAATATAACTTAAAAGATAATTTAAAAAAACTCTTTTTGACACCGAATGGTGCTCCATACACACCCGGGTTCAAAAATGACCCGAACACTAAACAGTAATTGTATTTTTTAAACAGCAATTGTAAAAAATCTGGAAAAAAAAGTGTTTTGACGGTCTTAAAGCATTTGCAAAGTTTCATTTCCTTACTAAAAACTAAACTGAAAAACTAAACATTTTTTTGGAATTGTTATGCATCTCTTCTGGGTGAAACTCAGGTCAAAACTGTATTTTTTTAATGAATCGTTTGAATGAATGATTCAGTGACTCACTTCGCGCCACATATTGACAAAGTAACCCAAGAAGAGTCACTGAACCAATCCGTGAATCAATCTGAACAACTCTGTTTAGTGAATAGATTCAAAAGAGTCACTGGAATGAAGCTCTTGTTCCAGTTGATTCTGTATTTTTTTAATGAATAATTTTAACAAATGATTCAGTGACTCATTTTGCGCCGCATACTGACAAAGTAACCCAAGAAGAGTCACTGAACCAGTCCATGAATCAATCTGAACAATCTTTAGTGAATAGATTCAAAAGAGTCACTGGAATAAAGCTCTTGTTCCAGTTGACTCTGTATTTTTTTAATGAATCATTTGAACGAATGATACAGTGACTCATTTTGCACCACATATTGACAAAGTAACCCAAGAAGAGTCACTGAATCAATCCATGAATCAATCTGAACAACTCTGTTTAGTGAATATATTCAAAAGAGTAACTGGAATGAAGCTCTTGTTCCAGTTGGCTCTGTATTTTTTCAATTAATTGTTTGAATGAATGATTCAGTGACTCACTTCGCACCACATATTGACAAAGTAACCCAAGAAGAGTCACTGAACCAATCCGTGAATCAGTTTACTAAACAGATTCAAAAGATTCACTGGGACGAAGGTCGCTATTACCATCTTTCTCATTTTATGGTCACAGTGTAAAAGGACGCCTGCTATACTTTTCCAATGTGAGATGCTGTCTTTCTGTCCATCTTCAGCATTAAATAAGCACAACACCACAGACAAACGGGCGAGACTCATACCTGTCAGCTCCTTCTTTAACTTGCGAAGGTCTTTTGCGAGATCTTCAAACTTGACCTGAGCAGCGTGGAAGAGATCCTGAGGTTCGGGCAGCGGGAAAACGCTCTTCTCTGTTCCTGCGTTCTGAAACGACAACAACAACACAATAGCTCTGTTTCCATCCACCTATTGTTATGTGCATATTAGGATATCGCATAAAAAGATGCTGGATGGAAACGCCAAGATGCGCATAAATTCTAAAAATGCGCATAAAAAACTTGCGCGCTTAACTAAGTAGGATAAATTTCTTATCCGATAAGAAAACATGCACATAAACTACGATGGAAACACTTTTACTGAATAAATTCCTTAATGCGCATCAACGGTGCTTTATCGCAAATTGTTTTATGCGATATTCCAATTTAGTGCATAAGTTTAATTCGTGACTTTGGATGGAAACATAGCTAATCTGTCAAGAAAGACTCTGCTTGTAACTCTGTATTTTTGTCGTTTTGTCAATACAAATATCTACACATTGTTAAATGAAGACACATTCACTTAAGATGCAAAATGACGATATGAAGAGATATGAAGTCTGGTTTTATGAGAAACTGATCAAAATGAAGTGGGTTTTTGCTTAAAACAAGAACAAATATTCGCTAGTGGGGTCGTTAAAGCAATCTTGAATGCAGTGAAATACAATAAAAGAAAAAAAAATAATTTTAGTGAAAAAAATAAAAAGAATAAAATAAAAGCTGTACCTCGTCCATGTTTCGCAGGTAGTACGACACCACATAATCCACCAGACTCATACGATTGTCCTGATGGGAAAGAAGGTCATTAGCAGATGTTGAGTGTTATGAGTGTTATTTTGGTAACACTTTACAATACGGTGGTACTAATATGCATTAATTCAATGCTTAACTAATGCACAGATCATCATGTGTTAATATAGTATAACTCATGAAGAACTAAACCATTTATTAATAATTACTGCATCAGCAACAAATTAACATTCTGTATGATTCATAGATTACGTAATCAATAAATTGTTATCAGTTAAATGTGTCATAATGTATTAATTCCCTAATAACATAAAGCAATAATTCCCGTGAAGCCGTGGTTTACAGTGAATTTATTTTATAAATTACATTAAGTAATAGTGTAAATTCATGTGTTAATTACCACAATGTGTCGAAGCCATGCATTTCAACTTCCAGATAATTAATCATTAGCTAATGATTTGCAAAGATATCATTATGTTATGACTTTACTTGTGGAGGCACATGACTAACTACTAATTCTAAATCCATAACCACAATGACATATTACTTAACAATTAGTTAATAGTTCTGTAGTAAAGTAACAGAACTATTAAGTAAAGTAAAGTCATAATATAATGATACCTTTGCAAATCATTAGCTAATGATTAATTA